TCCCAGTGTCCCAATCCCAGTGTCCAATCCCAGTGTCCCAATCCCAGTGTCCCAATCCCAGTGTCCCAATCCCAGTGTCCCAGTCCCAGTGTCCAATCCCACTGTCCCAATCCCAGTGTCCAATCCCAGTGTCCAACCCCAGTGTCCAATCCCAGTGTCCCAAACCCAGTGTCCCAATCCCAGTGTTCCAGTCCCAGTGTCCCAATCCCAGTGTCCCAACCCAGTGTCCCAGTCCCAGTGTCCAATCCCAGTGTCCCAATCCCAGTGTCCCAATCCAGTGTCCCAGTCCCAGTGTCCAATCCCAGTATCCCAGTCCCAGTGTCCAATCCCACTCTCCCAATCCCAGTGTCCAATCCCAGTGTCCCAGTCTCAGTGTCCCAATCCCAGTGTCCCAGTCCCGGTGTCCCAATCAGGTGTCCTGACCCCACTGTCCCCCAGCGCTGCCGGGCACTGCCGCAGCACTGCCCTGGCAGCAGAGCTGTTGCCCAGGCAGTGCCCACCCAGGGCCATCATCCTCGGGCTGGCTGCCATCCTTTCTGGGCAAGGGTACAGATCCCGTCCTGAGCTGTGCCAGCCGCGCTGCTTGTGCCTCATTTCTGCCTCTGAGCCTGGCTGAGCAGAAAAAGGAGCTCTCTCTGTATATTTATATCCCTAGCAGGGCGTTCATGGATCATCTGACACCTCGGGATGGTCCTGGGGGATGACAACGAGACACCCGGCACTCCACAGCGTGTTTTGGCAGGCAGGAAGGGGTGGGAACCCCGTGCCCCCCTTTCCTCCCGCAAGCCTTCGTGTTCCTTTTTGGCACATCCCCGCAAAGAGGAGCGAGATGCAAAACCCTGCCAAGGCTTCTCGTGGAATAGATGACATTTACATTGTTATGCAGTTTGCTGATCTAAACATACCATTGCCTTGCCTTGATAGCCCAGGGCAAGTGATAATCAGCTTGTTTGGTGGGCACCCTGCCATCTGAGACGGGGGGACACAAATAGAGACAGTTTGTGCATCATCCACCAGCCTTGCAGGAACACGATTCCCAGCTGAGAGCATGGAAATGTGTCTGTCTCCTGAGCGTGTGCATGTTGGCATGGCAAAGAGAAGTGACAGCGATAAATAGAATGGGTTTGGAATAAATCAGGGTTGTGTTTTGTGGCTGCTCCGAGTTGGATTTTCACGGGTGGAAATGGTGGAAGCTCTGGGAGGCACCAAAGTCGGTCAGCTGGGCTGAGACCCCGTGGGAGCTCTGCTTCTCTCTCCATCCCCAGAAGATGTTTGGTGTCACAGGTAACAGGGAAGATGAGGAATTGGGGTTCCTGGATTTTCTTCTGGGCAATTTGTCCTCCCTGTGTGCCTGGCACCACCTCGGGTGTGTTCCAGGACTTGGACTGAATTGGGGTTTCGGGATTGAGGACTTGAATCAGGGTTTGCTGGANAAATCGAATCAAGTGTTATTTCTGGCTGGATCTTGAGCCTGGAGGGAGGAGAGTGTCCATCAGCACTTCCCCCTTTTTCTCCTGGCGGAGCATCCAGCTTGCAAATTGTCTTTGGTGGGGGGGAAGGGTGGGAAAACCCAAGGAATCAACTTCCAGACATAAATACAATATGGACAAGTCATAAACATTATTAAAGCAAGTCTATCCCTGCAGGGCAGGTTTTTGCTCATAATGCTTTCCTGATTGCGCTTCCGCAGCGCCGGGGAAGTGAATAGCGGGCTGATTATCCACGGCCTGATCTACAGCGGCGGAAAAACGGCTCCCTTTGTGTGCCAGGGGGGGACTTTGCATATTTACTGCCAGGGAACAGCCAGCCTGGACATCCACAGAGGGACTGAGCCCAAATTGGCCATGGCGGTGCTGGTGGGGCTCTCCTTGTGCCACCCGTTACCCCAAAGCTCCCAAACTCCAAAGGTTTTTATTAAACCTGGTGTCTCAGGTTTTAGATTTTCTGTTTTTCAGGTTCTGTGCTGCTTTAGTGTGTGGGTCTGGGTTCACATCAGGGGATGGTGAGCTCTGTGCACAGAGCAGGGAGACAAAACAATTCCTGCTCCAGCTGGGCACCAAGGACAAATGATCCAAATCTCATGCCCAAGAACACAAACAATGGTGAATTTGAGAGAGAAAAACAAGCAGGGTGGGACTGCAGGGGCTGAAGCTGGAATGGGACAGTGAACTGCAAGGTGCAAATGGAGCAGAACTGATCCCAGGGAGAGACCCCGGGAGCGCTCGTGCATTTTGGGGCCATTTTGGTTCATCTTGGGTCAATTTTGGGCCCATTTGGGTCCATCTTGGGTTCATTTTGGGACCATTTTGGATTCACCTTGGGTTCATCTTGGGTCCATTTTGGGACCATTTTGGTTCATTTTGGGTCAATTTTGGGACCATTTTGGGTTCACCTTGGGTTCATTTTGGGGCCATTTGGGTTCACCTTGGGCTCAGCCCTGGCTGGGCTCTTGTGCTACCCAAGGTGCATCCATTGAGGGCTTTTAATAAATCCCTGCTTTATTCTTTAGCTCTGTCCAGACTCTCCTCTAGGTCACCAAACACTTTGGATCAGTGGATGGGAGCTGTTGCTGCAAAGGCAGAATATGGGGGAAATTAATAATATTCATCATCATCATCACCGTCCCATTCACAATAATAATATTGAAAAAAGGCTCTGTGACATATTAATAGAATTGTCACTGAATTTGTTTTGAAAATCCCCAAAACTTGGGAGAAATCCAAGTCTTTTCGCATAGTATTTTCTTGGAGCCAGTTGTCCAGCTCATCTGAGGTGCCACAGAAAATTCTGAGTTGGAAGGAACCCCCAAGGATCAAAAGTGACACTAATTTTGTTCAATATTCCATGTACAGTGTGGCACTGCTCACTGGGAGAATAATAATANACCTGGGAATCAGGAGAAGAGAAAAAGAATTGTTGTAGTGCACCCCAAAAAGCCGAATTTGGGTTGGATTTCCTTAAGCTGGAAAGCAGGAGAAGAACAGAGGAAAAGAATTGTTGTAGTGCACCCCAAAAACTGGATTTGGGCTGGATTTCCTTGACCTGGGAAGCAGGAGAAGAAAAGAGAAAAAGAATTGTTGTAGTGCACCCCAAAAATCTGAATTTGGGTTGGTTTCCCTTAACCTGGGAAGCAGGAGAAGAAAAGAGAAAAAGAATTTCTGTAGTGCACCCCAAAAAGCTGAATTTAGGGTGGATTTCCTCGACCTGGGAAGCTAGAGAAGATAAGAGAAAAAGAATTGTTGTAGTGCACCCCAAAAAATGAATTTGGGTTGGATTTCCCTAACCTGGGAATCAGGAGAAGAAAAGAGGAAAAGAATTTCTGTAGTGCACCCCAAAAAATGAATTTGGGTTGGATTTCCTTAACCTGGGAAGCAGGAGAAGAAAAGAGAAAAATAATTGTTGTAGTGCACCCCAAAAATCTGAATTTGGGTTGGTTTCCCTTAACCTGGAAAGCAGGAGAAGAAAAAAGAATTGTTGTAGTGCACCCCAAAAAGCTGAATTTAGGGTGGATTTCCTTGACCTGGGAAGCAGGAGAAGAAAAGAGGAAAAGGGAAAATAAAAGGAGCAGAGTTAAGGTGGTTTTGGTAATCTGGTGTGATTTTCAGTACTGCTTTGTTTTTGAGTGTGTATATATATATATATTTAATTTTTATTGTTTTTCTCTATTTTTTTCACTTTAATCTGTCTCAGTTTCTGCCTTTTTGTTTTATTTTTCCCCTTTTATATTTTGCTGCAGTCTGCAGGCAGGCAGCCCCTCAGCCACGGCACAATCATGTAAACTGCTCTGGAGTTAAAAGCAGAAAAAAAGGAGATTACATTGTCCTTTTTCCTTTATTTCACGGCTGCTCACAATACCTTGAAGAAACCACCGAGTTTTTTTGGAAAGGATTCAACTCCCAGCCTGCGAAAAAGGGGAGTTTCCAGTTTCCAAGCCTTCTCTCTGCTCCTTTTCTCACCCCAACCTCACACCTCTGTTTTGAGATCCCCCACCAACCCCGAAGGAATCAATCAACCCCAACTAATACTTTAATGACTCCTTTTCCTACCGAGGAAACAAATCCAGGAGCACACACACACACATGCATGAACAAAAAAAAAAAAAAAAATCTATTTTTTTTTAAAAAAAAGGAGCTAGAGGCTGAGGAGGACCTCGTCTGGTCAATGAAAGAAAGAGACGGATGTCTGGTGCCATGGCAATGGAGCAGGGATT